CATACCATGAAAGCTTCCTTCATGGTCATAAATCTCAAATAAAGTCTAATTTTGGTTCGTCAATAAAAGCAGCAGCCTAATACATACATAATCATGTTTTCTTAAGGTCCAGAGGTTTTAGGATTGCTGCACTTTAAAAACTACAGTGCACCTTAATGCTGCATTCAAAACAAAACTTTTCTTCACATTAAAACCACCTCAACGGCAAAATTTGGACACTGGGTCAGACACTGGTCAAGTTGCTCTGACGCTTTGACGCTCTGGAGCTCTGCACTCTGGTTGTTTATCTGCTCTGTAGCTTTGAGCTTTAGCTTGGCTTTATTTGTTAAGATCCCACTAAAATATGTAGTTCTTGTTTGGAGCACCAGACCTCCAGCATACCGCCGGTCGGCAGCATGGAAATCCTTACTGAAAGCTCTCTGCTGCGGCTAGCCTGTGGGGGATTTTCCGCTGACGTTCGTAGCAAATGGAAGTGAATATAAAGAGTTTTTAAGGTTTGTTGTAAAAACTCCAAATACCAGAAAATATAATACAATATCTTTCGTTGGCATGTTTTAACATTTTTAATTAATTTGTGTATTTATAAACTATTTTGATATAGTTAATACAAATATTTTACTGCAGCAATTATGATCAGAGCTCGCTCTCAGTTCCTTCTTCTTAAAAATCCATTCTTCCGGCTTTTTTGTAACCTTTGGAGTTTACCCCCTTGATATTTATTTATTCTTCATATGTAGACATTTCTGCAGCAACGGTAACAGCATGCAGGTAGTGTCTATCTCCATCCAAAAACTCCTGGATCAGCTTTTCTGTTTGGTTAACGCTTCGGCGTCCAGCAGCAAAAGTAAAATTTTCTGAAACACTCGGGTGCTCCAACGCTCGGATGCCTGAACACTCAGAAGATTCGAAGCTAGAATGCTCGTATGCCCCACTCCCGATGCTCGAACGTGCTGCTAGACCTCTTGACGCCGTCCCCCATATACTTTGCATGTAAATCTTTGCATGCTTTGATGGAGAAAATGTGCCCGGCCTGAACGCAGCTTAAAACAAAGACACTTGGGAGAAAGTGGGAAACTGGGAAACTCAAGAGCTCAATCTAAGAATTAAAATCTCACAATTTGCCTGTACTATTTTTAAAATGTATGACATTACCAATGTAAAAAGAGAGTAGTGAAGAATAGTGACCCTCAGGTTAAAGTTGCTTAATGCATATGTCAACACTATTTGAATCGGAATGAACTACAAGAAAGAACTGTCCTTGGAACAGATTATACCCAAGCGGAGATATTAAGTCAAGACTATGGAGAAAAAAAGTTATTAAGTTGAACATGAACATGTTGTGGTTTTTATTTTAACAATATCACATGTTTGTTGAGTAATATCTCACTTCAACCAGACATATAAATACTTGATTTTAACCCCAACTGTATCTTCTGTATCTTCACTGTAGTGTTACAGTAGCACAGGACTCTCACTGATAGAATATCAGCCTTAACAATAAAGCAACACAAAATCAATAAGGCAGAGCAGCACTTTGGTGGAATAATGGTGGGTTATATTCGCTGGTGAGATAAATCTGTAATTTACACATCGGTAATCTGCCTGCCAGAGATGTGAAGAACTTAATTAGATCACAGTAGTAAATATACCGTATTTTCACGACCATAAGGCGCACTGTACTAAAAGGCGCACTCTCAGTTATGTGTCCCATTTCTGTATTTAACACACACATAAGGCGCACCGGACTATAGGGCGCGTTTTTTATATACAGGTACATGTCCTCTACTACCTTTAAATACCTCTACTGCGTATTTAAAAATACAGCGGGGGCAAAACTGAGTATGATTGTACTTTATTCATGTATTTATTACAAAGTATTAATCAAACCTGGGAGCTGGCCGTGAGACAGACACATCGCAGATGACACAGCGCTGTGATCACTCCAAAATTAACTTAAAATCCTGAAACCTGCCGACGGAATATGTTCGCTTTTATTACCGGTATCCTGGTGCCTGCAGTTTAAATTATTTAGATGAAAAACACCTGCCAGCCACCGCCTGAACCCGGAGGCTGCCCAGCCTAGAGGCTGCTGATGAAGGGATTTCTACTGTCGGCGCACCGCTGGTATGTGGGGGTCTGAGCGCCTCCGACAGAAATAGATAATCTGGATGAACTGACTGCAATTATTAAGTTTTCAGGTGGACTTTCTCACTTAAAAACATATTAAAACTACTTTATTCCCACTGATCACAGCAAACATAGCTGCAAGATTTAGATTATTTAGATGAAAAAACACCTGCCAGCCACCGCTGTATACGCGGAGGAGACCCGGCCCAGAGGCTGCTGTTGAATTAAGTTTTCAGGTAGAAAAATAGAGCGGGAGCAAAACTGAGTATGATTGTGCTTTATTCATGTATTTATTATAAAAGTATTAATCCATCCATCGCTCCCACGCCGCTTGCAGCCTTACTTACCAGGTGGAAAAAACCACCTGGTCTCCTCACATACACCTGCCTCAGCCACGCTTTCATCATCTCCTCATCCATCCAGCCTTTTTCATTTGGGTTAATATAATATGTCATCAGAGCGCTGTGTCTGTCTCGCTGTCAGCTCCCAGATCAGCTTCTCTGATTGGTTGATGCGGCGCGTCCAGCAGCAAAACTTCAATTTTTCCATCTGAGCAGCAGCAGCGCGTTGGCAGATGCTTAAACGCTCCCGACGCGCTGCGCCTGCTGCTCAAAACGCGCTGCGGGGCCTTTTGCTGCACCTATACGCGCGTCAACCATTGACTTTGCATGTAAACTCGCTGCTTCTGCTGCACCTGCTGGGTCCGGTTCACACCGATGTCGAGCGGTTGAACAGCGAGCACAGCATTAATTTGTTTCCCCATGTTTTTCACATCAGCTGTGAGATGGGCACGCATGGAGTTACATATTAACAGCGATGGTGATGAGTGGAAAAAAAACACCTGGTCTCCTTACATTCAGCCACTCTTTCATCATCTCCTCAATGAGGTGGTCTCAAAAGTTGCAGTTACAACACACATAGGGCGCACCACACCAAAGGGCGCACCGCACATTTTGAGGGAAAAAAAAGACGTTTAAGTGCGCCTTATAGTCGTGAAAATACGGTACATAAACGTATAAAAAGTGGAGTGAGGATTGTGGTAGAAAAAAAAGGTGTTTGTTTAAAGCCAGTAAAGCACGTTCTATCTTTTGCATTACTCACACAAACAAAAGTGAAAAATATCTATTTTTTTCCCTGTTTCTTTAACAAAGTGCTCAAACTGAAGCTGCTTTCCCAATAAAAACTCTAGATTTTTCAAAACCGGGTTAACCCTCTAACAATCGGCTTTGACTCTTTTCCCATTTGACCAGACTGCTGGTGCGTCTAATGATGGCATCACGCGGGGTGAGTGTTGATGATGTCGACACCGCGACAGAAATCAGGGAAGTACAGCGTCAGCTGTTCAAATGGCCCTTCCCAGTTAAACGGCAGCCGAATGGCAGCCCACTTCCCTGCAACTCCCAGCAAAATCAACTACGTGAACCAGACATATTTCTTTACTTCGACTCCACCCTTTTACTGAATTATAGGGTCTGACCAGGGGATGATGTTTCTCTTTAGAACTTAATGTCCAAAAATCATGACAAAAAGAATATTTTAGTATAAAAATTGATGTTTAAAAAGCCAAGGGCCCATCAAGAAAAGAAATTTTGATTGACTACTACTGTATATGATGGAGTGCAACATGGAAGGGAGCCAGAGAGTAGTCAGTATTCTTTGTGGTTTCACCCTTTTCCGTCCGAATCTCTCTCATCAGTGCTGCGGGATATTTAATTAATGTAAAAATTTATGTTTCGACTTGTTAGATCAGAAGCAACTGCCGCGGTGTGTTGACGTCTAATTGGCGTTCAATGGCGTCACGTAATTTAGCGGGTCAACCTGGGTCTGGTGTTTCCACAGCATGTTGATCAGAGCTGAGGTGCTTTCCGAGTCTTTTGACCGAGTCGTTTGACCAGGGTAGACACGCGTCAGTGAGCTGTTCCCACTGCCACTAAAAGCAGATTGTTCTCGGCTTTAAACAGGCTTTTCTGCCAGTGTGAAAGGGGTGTAGTTTACCTTTTTACAGCTTTTGCTATAAACTACAAATACATTCATGCTGATGTTAGGATGCTCTAACCCAGTAAAAACAACCATCGCAAAATATTCTATTGGTTGCTAGGAGGTAAATTCCTTGAGTTGCAGTACCAAGAAAAAATTCTAAATGGAGACAATAAAAAAATAAGAAATCCGATTTATTTTGCTGAGAGGTATGACACACCAAGGTAAACTAAACTAATAAGTAGCTTTGATGGATAACAAGTAAAGTTGGATTTCACAGTGTTACGAATAATAGTTTAAAAAAATAAGTTAACAAACCTAAACACTGAAGCTCAGATACAAACAAAGCACAAAATTCCTTATCTAGATGGTACAACTATATTAGGTCCATAGAAACATCTGTGTAAACCTGACAGAGGTTAGTCCACCAAATCAAACTCTCAGAAACTTTTGATGTGGGTAAATAATAGGTGAGTTTCTGCCCAAACAGAGAGAGTTTCAAACGGCTATTTCATCTCCCAGACAGTCAGGAGCTCCCTGTCTGTTGAGAGCATTAAGCAGTCTCAATGTCTCCTCATCTGTTCCCCAACCAAAGATCTCGATCTCATCATCCTCCTCTTCCTCCCCCTCATCCTCCCCGTCATCGCTGTCATCCGAGTTCGACTCGTACTCTGAAGCGATGCCCGACTCGCGAAACCTGGAGAACTCCAGGCAGTCCAAAGATTTCATTTCTCTGGATAAGATGCTTGTCGGAGCATCAGGCACATCTCGACCTCGAGTCACGGATGTGTTAGGCTTGAGCAACGGGGGAGGCGAAGGGAGTCGAGGAGGTGGAGGCCCCGGCGGTCCTGGGAGGAAACGGAAACAATCCAGTTTGAACAGACACTGTTCCCTACCTAGTGGGCTTCCAAAAGTCCCGTTGGTAGAGGAAAAAGCGTTGCTGGTTGCATCACCGGGGCTTAGTGCAGAGAGGTTGATATCCGACACTTCGGATTTGGGTGTGGTGGCGTCGCAAATCACTGGAGGTACCGTGGATCTGAAGGTGATCTCCAACAAGCTGTCCTGGGAGCCCACTGGAGAAAAGTAAAAAAGTGAAAAAAAAATACAGGAGGATGGAGTGTAACAAAGATCCGAATAAACAAGTTAAATAATATACCACAGTACGAAACATTTTCTCCCATCAGATATATTTCCATAAATATCCCATCAATAAACCAAAACAGTTGAAAAAGAAGCAATATAAATCCTAGCAAAATAAATATCTAGAGGCATTGACAAAGCAAGGAAAATAAATGTGTTTCACAGTATTTCATCATCATGCTGGACCTCAGTGAAGTCATTTACCCGCCGTGTTAAAAGGCAGGCAGCACTGACCTCCAGCTCAAAGGTGCTCTAAAGAAATTGTGCATCTTCTTAACATAAAACTTAAGGCACAAATAAAAAAAACACTTTGCAGACATTGCATTCCAAATCTTGGTTCTTAAACAACAGGAAAAAAACAACTCATGCTCATGCATATTTGCATTGTTTAATTAGAAACTTAAAATGTACATTAAATAAATATCAGCTAAAATGAAGGCAATGTAAAGTTTGTACATATCAAGCTATTGCAGACTTACTTCCATCTGCCCTGAGATGCTTGTACCTTATTGCTTCATGCTTGAGTTGCTGTCATGCATCGTCCCTTCTACTGTGTTATAATGCCATTAACATATAACAATAGAAAACTCACTAGCTAGGAAATTACATGCCTGGACCAAATTTTTGAGGTGGCCTCCAATCACAGCGCTGTTCATGAATACACTGAAGTTCTGATCAGCTTATTTTGTCAAAAAAGAAAAGAGCTTTAATCTGCCTGCATGTCTAGGTGATGGATTTGTGACCATTGACGTGATTGGAATGTACAGCTACCATCTTCTAAAGCCTTTAAACTCCGATTCCTCTTGAAGAGAGAGCCATTTAAACCCCAAAAGAGTTATTGGATACTTAAAAAAAAAATCTGATAATATAAGAATTTCTCTCATCTTGGTCATGCTGTCCATGGATTTTAGGCAGATGACAGGTGTGACTAATAACGCTGAAAATAACTAGCACAGTAAAAGCTTGTCAATCATAATACACCACAGAGAGAGTTACATTGCCACTGAAAGATGTGCCCCTTTTAATTTTGAATGGTCATCTTGCACCAGGCATGCCAAATCTAAACACTTTCCACAAACAGAACTGTGCAGTTACAGATTTTTCGAAGTAAATGTGGAGAATTAATTTCGAGTTCCAATCTTTTCCATTTTAGTTGTTCAAAAAAGTTTTCCGTGTCTACAGAAAGTTTTCAAGAGGGGACCGAGCAGCATGCTAAAAACTTTAACTTGCATAGGCAAGAACAAGCAAGAGTCCATATTTGAAACATTTGTTGATAAGATTAAAGATCGTTTCCTGCAGGGTGACATTTGCAGGGCAGGCTGGGCTGCTGTAGCCCTGAGAAGATTGTCTGTCTGAATAGTCAAAGAAAAGGCTTTAAAATGCACAAAGCTGTAAAGAGACCCATTGGAGAGGACAGAGGGGGGCCATGACAGATGAACAGCAGAAAGACGTGTGTTGACTCTCAAAAAAATCAGAACGCTGAGAGGCAGATAAAGAAGCATAATCACTGGCTCACAATAAAGTGCAGCGGCTTCAAAGAGCAGCAAAGTTTTACTGAGGACTGCCATCTTTCTGAGCATAAACACAACTGGACATATGTGCTGAGAATGCATGCACTCATTCTTTACTTTGTTCTACATTTAATTTGCTAAATATTTTGGCACAATTTCTACTATTGACTTTTACAGTTATATTTGGGTAAAATAATAGTGTTGGTTACTGGATGCATGTTAGCGGTAAATGTTTGGACTGGTCAGCTACAAATGAAGCACCCATTTGGTCTTAATACATTCATGTGAATCTGATCCACACTCTACCGGGAATTAGCATCGTAGCCCAATTCTGTTCCTCTACCATGACAGCGCTGTATCCTTTCCTGTTTCCATATTTAATATGAAAAATACCATCAGGGCTGTAAGTTTAACCTCTTGACCCCAGCCTATGACTGCCCTCTAGTGGTCAAATGTGATGAGCTCTTTTAATTAAAAAAATTCAACTCCCATGTGATCATGGCCTCTAAGCATTTGGCACAATGTGGTTAACATTGCTTTAACTGAGCATTAAGTTTTTTTTTTTTTTATCAATCTTACTGTCATTATTATTATAGATGTACAAATTTGAAACATAGGGAGTTAATGTAGAAGTAGTAGGTTTCTCTCCAGTTTAATGTTTTTTTTAATGCCCGTATATGTATTTTATACCAATGAACACCAATTTATCATATGTGCATAAACCCAATCATAATTAATCTTTTAAATTAATGAAAAATAAACTCACTGGAATTTGGTCCAGCCATTTTGGATTCTAGCTCCTGGATCTGTTTAACCAGCAGGGAGATGTGCTGCAGCAGGTCTTTGTTTTGGAGAAGCAGCTGATGAACTCGAGCCTGGGCCTCCAGCCGAGCGGTGGCCTCCGCGCTCAGCTGATCCTTCAAGAGATGGACCTACATGGGAGGATGAAAGGGAAACAATGGTGGGGGGTGAATACAGATAGAAAACACAGAGAGATGATAGGTTGTTTGGCCAAGCATACAAAACAAACTAAATATGAAGTCCACTGCCATAACAAACTGTTTTGGTAACTTCTTTGGTAAATCTGCTGAGGGTTCTGTTTTCAGAAACTGGGTTTGATCAGCAGGAGAAAACGATTGCGTCTAGTCGAGTGTTTAAATTGCATCGTATTTGATCAAAGCAGAGAGGAGCTAAGTTCACGCAACATATGAGTGCTCTCAGCCAGAATCAAGGAGATCAATCAGTGATAATCCACTTGGGGCTGCTGAAATAGAGTCATTGTATAAGATCAGAAGCACAATATCAAGAGAGGAAGGAGTTTTGAAATAATAAAACGAAATCCAGAACTCACTAATGTAGTAGATGAGTTAATCATAAACTCATTATCGTACTCTTAGATTCATTTATAGCAGACAAACTTCTCTATAAAGTCTTGTTAGAAATATTTAACTGCATAGTTTAAAGAAGCACTGTGGCCTTGCAGCAATAAGGTTCCGGGTTTGATTTTTGGCCCGAGGTGTTTCTGTATGGAATTTGCATGTTCTCCCCGCGCATGTGTGCGTTCTCACCGGGTACTCCAGCTTCCTCCCACAGTCCAAAAACAAATAGTCCTTAGGTGTGAGTGTTTGTGCACGGTTGCGTATCACTGTGTGTCTCTGTGTTGCCCTGCAACAGAATGGTGGCCTGTGCACGGTGTACTCCGTCTCTCGCCCGTAGACTGCTGGAGATAGGCACCAGCATGACCCTCATGGAATAAGTGGGAGAGGATGGATGGATGGAAGTCTCCCATTAGTCAAGGCACATTGCTGTTTTTCATGTCTTGTCCTTATAGGTAAAACAGACTACATTTTCATCACATTTTTGAAAATAATTTGGGCAGGATGTCACCATCCACATATCATTTAATGTGATATGATTGAAAATGGATCAGATTACAACATAATGATTAATTATTAATTAGCATCTTAAGAAAAATAGTACTTCGAATTCCAAGTTAATAATAAAAAAAGCAGGCAAAAAATAGATAAATTTATTACAGTTTATCCATTTTAGCATCATAACAGATGCAGTCTCAGAAACTTTACTGTTTTATATCAGCTAAGACTATCAAAATGATTTCCATTTGCTCTATGACAGCATAATGCAATTAAAGGTTTGGAAATTAACAGATTTCTCAATGCAGAACCATTGGAGAACCCACGTGATGCAGTCACACATATCAGTTTCCCCATTCCTCTCTATGAGGTCTTCATTTTTCAAATCATTAATGTTTAATATATAATAAACCCCATAAACTTCATGGGTATTCCTATATACCTGAACATTGGAACTGTGAACCTTCGGGCATCTGGAAACTTTGCTGAAAGGTGAATCAGTCTTATGGAAATTAACTAATATCTTTTGCTTTTTTCTTGTTAGAGGTGTTCCCTTAAAAACATTAATAAAAGTGCCTCCAATTAGCTTATATTTTTCCAATCATCTTATTGTAAGCTGAAAAAGCAATGACATCATCATCCTCACTTTCCAGCGCTTTTAAAGGCATGGTAATCTTGGTGTATATAAATTCATGAATTTTGGAGGATAATAAAAAATATCTTAAACTTCTGTCACCCATTATTCTGGCATCCAGGAGATTATTTTGGCAACGGCGACTGACCTCAAAGCAAAAAATTTCCAAAAACCCTATCTGTGCCAGATTCTGTAGGAGTTAAAAATCAAATAATTAAATATTCAGATTCTAAAAACACAGTTTAAAACTTCATTTCAATTATAAAACTGAGGAAGAAGATCCCTTTCTTTGTATGCCAAACTTGTTAGATGGTATATTAACAGTGTAAATCCCGTCTATTGGTAAAATAGGTTTTGGGCAGGTGTGCCGGAAAGTTTTCTGAACTCAAATTTTTCTGAAATAAAGATTTTTTTCTAGTTATTTTGGAACTGAATGAAGCCACTACAATAGCATATTGACATACTTTAGCGCTTGTTATACTTGTTACTGGTAGTGGCCTTGAACCTGTCGACAGGAGGTGTAATCATTTGCAATTTTAGAATTTTTATATCCCTCTTTTAACACAACATTCATAGCAATCTACATTTTTATTTGGAATGGATTTTTAACGCCTTGTTTATTGTGTCTATACAATGAAAGTTTACAGTGTCTATCATACATCAATCGAACACCTGCTACTGCTATAATAGTCAGAAATGAGCTCATTGTGACAATTAAATAGGATGAGTAAACAGCTTTTATTATGTTTTCATTTAACATCCTGTTTTATTTGAAAAAATATGCAAAGAGTATTTAATTTTGTCGTAAATGCTTGGAGAACTCTTTCAAGGATTCTGGCACAGCTACATTAGAGACAGATGGCAAACTCGTAAAGCTAACTGTTAGGGAGGAATTTAATGAAGATTCTCTTAATGTGGTAATCAGAGAGAAGACCCTGGATGCAAAAAGACAAGGGACAAGTGTAAACAGATCAACCAACATACCAGTTGATGACTAATTCTGACTGCTGGGTACTTTTCTTCTCCCTTTGATTAACTTTAAACACAATTCAGTATTCACATAGAAATTCTAATAGACTGCCAAAAGATGTAGGATTTTTATGCTTAAATTATAGCGCTTTAATGAAATGTTCAAAGGGAACTTATGGTGCTCTAGTGACAGCTCTGATCCTCATGCAACCTTAATGCCATAGTGTGCTGTGGTTTGCTGGATTAAAGCAGGCTTCATATCAATTTAGGGCTCAGAGCCAAAAAAATTATTTTACAGAATGAATCATTTATATAAAAGAAAAGGTGGGGGGAAACGGACACCATTCAGTCACTGAGCACTCTCAAGCAAAAATGCATACTCCCGCGTGGTTCCTGTGGCGGCAGCCCTATTTTCACTTCAAAACCTGCCCTCTAAATCAAATGTTTGCAGTACCACCTCACAGTATAGCCAGCCACCTCTGGAACAATGTCACTGCTTTCATCAAGTTCAAAGGAGAACATCTTAAAGTCTTTAATCTGGAAAGAAGTTCAGAAGAAGAAGCTGAGAATTAAAAAAAGGGCTACTTTTTAATGATTTTCTGACAGAATAGGTGGTGTAGCACTCAATTATTTGATTTGGATTAATCCTGGAGCTTGATCACAGACCAGAAAAGCTTCAAATCGAGGCTGATCGAGATGCAAAGAGGAACTGAGGAAAAAAGAGGGAAATATCCCACAGCTACATGTCATGAAAAAAACAAAAACAAAGTTAAACTCTAACAGTCAGAAGGACTTCTTAATTATAAACTTTTCCTTGTTTCCTGACCTCTTAACAGATTCTTCTTAGCAAGACGTTCTATATGCCGTTTGAGAGTAAAAGCGACTTAATCAAACCCACCAATGCTTGTGTGAAGCACTGACAGGTGCATTGATGTATTTTCGAAGAGGAGTAAATCAAGGCTTCTCATGTAGAAAACAAGTCATTGAGACACGTAATGACTCCCTGGTTTTTTCTCATTTCAGCACGATACAGTAACCTGCAGCTGGTTACCGTGGCAGCATGAAGACTCTTCGCTCATGACGTCAATGGCAACAAATATCCAAGGAGAAAACAGCAACTGCCCCAGAACGAAAAAAAAAAACTCACAACAAAGTAATTGGAAATGGAACAATACACCAAGGACATCCTGACTCTCTGTAACACTGCCATGCTCTGCAACATTGAGCAATGGCGTTAAGCATTAGGCTTGTTCTGCCATTAAATTGAAGTAATTATCATGAAAACAATTTTGAATTATTGGATAAGTTGGTGGGCTGGCTGTCATTTATTGAAATAGGTACTCACTGGCCCTTTCTAAAGTACCCATTAGCTTGTACAAGATAGTTTAACCCGTTGGCTATTAGGACTGCCTTACGTTTTTATGGCAAGCTAAACCCATTTCTAAGACACTATGCTCTATATATTTAAATGAAGGCATCAAGGAGTTACAGCATATCTGTGAACGTCAAGATCCCCCCCCCCCCCCAAAAAAAAAAAAAAGAAAATCAAAAGATAGCTGGATTGAGATCTGGTGACTTTGGAGGGAAAATATCCACCATATCATTATACCAACAACAATTTCTAAATCCGTACACCGCCTATAGGTTCCAGTTGAAATTAAAACTCAACATACCAAACAACACCTTCTTAAATTCTTTAATTGTGTCCTCAGTTTCCCTATCTTAGCTGAAATAAGAGGCACCTGGTGTGTTCGTCTGCTTCAGTGTTTGACCTTTGTTTTTGTTCAGATAAATATTCCTTCCACATTGGTTGCAATGAGTGGCTAGTGAACTACTAATGCATTTTTAAGGTCTTGGACCAGTCCACAGTCTTGCATCCCATTATTGGATTTTTATATTTCAGACTCAAGGGCTGGTTATACTCCCACAGCAGTGTGTCGCAGTGAGCTTGTCACAGATATTTTGGATTTATGCCCAATATTGAAGCGTGGTCTACGCTATGTTATTCCACGCAACAACGCAAGAGGGACAATCAGGAACCAGCTGTGGATCTAGATAAGGCCGAGGCGGTGAGGAAGCAGGAGTAAGTTTGTGTGAAAAAAAGAGGGACGTGAGCGTGAAAAAGAGCGGGGATACAGGTGGAAAAAGGGTCCAAGCGTTCTAGTGCACCTCGCTCTTCTAGCTGGTCCATCTTTACGAGTCGTTTTGCACAATGGCGATCATACAAACAAAACAAGCCTGTAAGGTACCAAATAGTGTACCGCGAATGTGGTTTTGACCAATCAGATGCCTACTTTCTGTGGTCACCTATAATTTTCGAGAGGTGCACCAGAGTGTCTGAGGCAGGGGTGGGGGCATATTTGCATTCGCTGTGACACACATAGACGACCTGGTTTCAGAGTATAAATTAGCCTTAATTGTTGTTATGCTGAGGGATGTCTAATGCCGGTACGCC